AATGCAGTTACAGTTCGATAACCTTCTAGATCTAGATAACGATTAGGTATCTCTGCTGATATTACAGAATCTATTTCCTTGGGACCACTTAGTTTATATTCGGCAACTAGGAAAACTAACAAATGAGCATGAGGAAGACCTCTCTTCTGAAACTCAATAGCCATGACATCTGTACACAAAAAATACAATATATAAAGAACTGAAATTCATAACAAATACATGATCACTCAACTTCAATTGCACTAATAAATTATTGATAAATCTTAATTTTTCATGAAATAAATTTAGGTAAATTTTACATTCTACATGGAAATTACAATAACTACAAAGACTACTCTTTCAAAAGTTGTTGAACATGCAAAAGATTATTAAATAATAGCTTTTGATAAATATAATCTGTCACTTGTAGACTAAAAAGGCAACACTTGTATCCATCTATAAGATTTGTTCTTGTGATTGCAATTGGTTTTATATATGATTGAGGAGGATATGTCTTTTGCTAAAAAACGAAACCAAAAATAGTATGGCAACACGTGTATGTATATATTATATATATACATATGTTTACTAAAGAACCAAATTAAAAAAGAGACTTTTGAAATCTCATCATCTACACAGGCAGAAACATAGGATGATTGAGGAATATAATAGTAAAAAAATTGAATAAATAAATAAACATATATAAAACAACTTACATCCAGTTGTAGCCCCAAATATTTTCTTATCTCTAATCTCAGACATCAACTGATGCAATTTAAGCTTGAATACTCTAGCAAAGATATCAGATCGATTGACATCTTTCCGACCATCCGAGTTAACCAAATCCACCATAAATTGGATTTCAGGCCAATTTGCATTACAGGTAAATGTAATAAACAAATCAGGGTACCCCAACCACCTACAAATAGCCATAGCATCCTGAAAATTCTCATACTTGTATCGTGGACTGCCTGTATGAGAAGCTGCAAGAATAACATGCTTGCCAGTCGAATCTAGATCAGAGTCACCACGTAAAAATGCATCCACCAAACCACTCACATAATGAGCACGCAATTTAGATTGGTTATTTCGAATCCAATCAAGACATTCAGCTTCAACCAATGCATAAGCATTCACCACATACTGTTGAAATAACTTCCCAGTTAATAACATTGCATTTGATTGATCAAATCTGGTCTGAAGACGATATGCATAATAATCACACTGGGACAAAGTATTGTTATTCCAGAGATCTTCTTCTTCATCATCCTCATCAACACAGGGTATATCAGAATGCCAACCATCCTCATCATAAGGAAAGAGAAGAGGATACTGTAATGCCATTAATGATGGATGTCCATAATTAATTCTCTCTAAGTCAGAGCTCTTATATTGAACAATAATGTCTGGCTCAAATGTATCCTGACCAGTTTCATCCACTATCAAAGCTGCAACATCATTTCCCGTTGGTAAATCATATTCTCTACCATCCTGTGCACGCTTAGCAAATAATTTGATCTTTAACTCTTCAACGGTAGCTTCAGATAATTTTTCCCGAGCCATGCGAAAGGTTTGAACCAAAACATTGTTCCTGTCAAACATTTCTTGCAAATCTCTAACAATCTCAGGTCGCAACGTATTTGAATGATCTTCACTTGGAAATAATTGGAGTCGATTCTGAAGCTCGGAGTAGATTCATGAATATATAATTGTGCAAATCTGGGTGGTTGACCTTCAACCGGAAGCAAGCTGCCTATATTGTGATATATCTGACCACTTATAGAATAGACATATACACCACCACCATCATTTATACCACGATCCACTTTACCGCCAAGGGAAATGAAGCTAAATATGGCATTGTATATACGGATTGCCTCCCTAAAGTGCCGACTCATAGGAGTTGAAGATTCCAAGAGATCTTTCAAAAATCCAGGTGGATCTCGCCTAGGAGGCAATTTCACCCTACCTCGTTTGCAACATAATGGAAACACCGGATTAGCATGACTCCTAGAATGTAACGTGCTTTCTTCGACCCACATCACTGCATTACAGTATTGACAAAGGCACGAAGGTTCACCAAGACTGAAAACTTCAACGGAAGGAAGACCTACACACAAAATCTCACATAAGACTATTGAGAAATAAATAGAAAATAAAAATTGAAGAGGGAAATATGTTACATAATGCAAACCAACCATGATTACGTGTGAATCCCCTAGGTATAGCATTAACCAACCGTCTTCTCAATAAACAAATAGAACGTAGTACACGTGCTTGTTTTGACCGCAAACGTAACAAACACGAAGTATAATCTGTGAGAAAAGAGGAACTACGTAATTCACCATCATCAAATCATAATCAAATAATGACAACGACAACTTTTATAAAACTAATAACTACCAATATTTAGAGGCACACGACGTTGAACTTCACGTCCCAAACGCCTATTCATAAGTATACCACGCTGCTTGCGATGGAATTGAGCCAACAGTAGATCCATTCGGCGAAGTTGAACATTTAACCTATCAATCCCTGCGAAGGAAAACGTTGTGTACGATAACAAATAACATACACCACAACGATATTTTTAGAAGTAGTAGAAAACAGAAATAACGGATAATTACGTCGATTGAGACGGGCGCTTTCAGCCACAATTTGTTGTTGTGGAGGATGTTTAGGTGGCCTGCAAATAGCCCTCCTCAACCCTGCAAATCAAATGATTGTGACTACCAATATATAACTTTCTCCCCTCCAAACAGCATACAAAGAATCAAATTCATATATGTTATCATCTCAATACTAACATTGACCCCTGTTCTGCTAATGTCGTTTTATTGTCAAGGAAGGATCAGGAGCATCCTGCTGAAGTCAAGCATCTTGCTGAAGTCGATTTATTGCTGAAGAAGAACCAGGAGTATCTTCAATACGAACCATAGATGGACAAACCGGACGATGACAACGATGAACACTGGAAAAACAAAAACCTGATGCGGTATTAACCTCAACACTGACCTCATATATTCCAAAAGGCCGGACACTAAGTTCATATATTCGAAAATCCTTATTCTGTTCTTACCTTTGCTAATTCTAGATAACAAACCCAGGGACGACAACCACTGGACGGTGGATACTGTAAAACCAAAAACCTGAAAAGCTATTAGCCTCGACACTCATTCCAAAAACCTGATACATAATTAACCTTTTCCAATTCTACGTAGGGAACACAATTATGGGCCAAGTCCAGCAATTAGAATTTACCTTCTATATTATTAGCCCATTTCACTTCATTAATCAGCCAGAAAGCCCAAAATTGTTAATCAACCCACCAACTAACTTGTAACCAATTCCCGTAATTAACAACCAATTAATGCCAGCCCAAAACGGAGCACTTCATTAAGCGGCCAGGAGAATGAAATGACGAAACTGGCCCGCCGTGAAGCTCTCAGAAGCCTCCAATTTTGAATCCCTGCAAAAGTAACCCATGAATCTGCTTCATAAATTATATAGATTATACAAGGTAGAAAGAAGTTGTCAAAAAAATTGCGAGAAAATGTTTGAAATTAGTGCAATAAATAATGTGTAAGCCGTAACGAGTAAAGAGTAAGTAACACGATGCACGAACTCAAACAACCCATAACCCGATCCACTCTCAACCCGCCCGACTCATAACCTGACTAACTCGCAACCCGACTGGCCCGCAACATGATGGACCCCCAACTCGATTAGCTGAACCCGGATAGCCCGTAACCCAATGAACCCGAAACACGACTGATCTTTAACCCGATTGAACCCAACCCAAACCCGACCGGTTGATATCTCTAACTAGATATATGACATTATTAGCATTGTAGGTTTAATTTACACCGTCTAAAAATGACTTGCAAATCGGGAGTCTTCATCTCATATACTCTGGAAAGTTGATTCTTCTAGCCTAGTTCCAATCCGCTAACATTTGGAAAGATTCACTTGGAGAGAGATGTACAGTTTTTTTTTTTTTTTTTTTTTGAGAAAAGGGAGGCATAAGGCCAATGAACTAAGTATCAGTACAAAAGTGTAACTGGCCGGGAGGACAGGATTCTCCCTTAAGAAGCCAAAGAACAGAAAACTCGATATCTTTAGAGCTGAAATCAAGCAAGCAGGTCATGAAAAAGGCCGAGAAGCAGCAACAGGGTATGCCTATCATTCTGGGTTTACCAGTACTCTACGAGGGAAACTCACTCCAATCAAATCATCTCTGAGCAATCTCTCGATTTCCCCTGGAGAGATGTACAGTTGATTTTCCTCCCGTATCTCAACCAAAGCAAATATATTAGTGCACTTTGACCACATAAAAGGAACCTATAACCTACAAGTTCAAGATAAAGAATAATTTAAAGTAATTAATCAATAAGATAATTAATATCAATTCAATCAGAGATCTTGGAATTGATGATAATAATCATGAATGTAATAGATAAACTTCACTGATAATATTGATCACAACAAAATTGGTATTATTATATATCGTCAAATGTGTAGCACTTAACCTCTAATGCATGCTATTTTCACTTTATCGATTGAATCGAAGGGTAAGAAGTTAGATGAACTTAACTTGGGGTGTTATGTTAGAACAAGTTATTTGCAAAGACAAGTTACTGTACGCCTAGAACGAAATTCCTGTTCATTTACTCAAAATTACTGTTCACCCTCCTCCCATTGGTGCGTCCTCTGCGATTGGGACCAGCCGCCTTTGCTGATTGGTTGGCTTCCTGCGTCTGGGTCCCACCGTTGTTGCTGTGTGTGCCGCGTTGGCCTCAGCTGCACGCTCATTTTCCCTTCGCTCTCTCTTTCCTGCTTTCTTTCTCTGCTTTTCTCAACTATTCCCTCTGAAACCTTCTGCTAATTATTACACCTGTCAATCTATACGTTTCGCTTTGCTTTTTCTCTTATCTTGCCATGGATACTGATGCACTGTTCTTCGGGTCCCGAGGGGTTTCTCGAATATTGTGATCCTTCGCAGAGAAGTTAAGGGTTTTCATCGCCACACAAACAATAAGTAGAGAGGAGAGAGAGCCAGAGGTAAATTAAAAATATCTTTCTTTCCGTCTCAGTTACTCTCTCCTTTCTTTCTCCTCTCTATCTTCAATCTCTCAAAAATGGCCGCCTCCACCATCGCCAGCTCCTCTATTGCCTCCTTTACCTCCACGGCTGCCGTCGCCACCGTCCCATCATCGCCACCTCCTCCGTCACCTCTGCCTTCGCCATCCCCACCGCCTCAACTACCGCTGTTGCCACCTCCTCCACCTCCACTTCCACCACCTTCATTGCCTTCACTATCTGATCCCGTCACGGGAGTCGGCGGCGCCGAGATCCTCTCCGACGGATCCGGTGGTAGTCGGCTGATCCCTGTCGCTCCTCCTCCCGCTTGTACGCGAAACGATACTGTTGGGAGAAGAAACCCCTACTTCCTCCTCGCAATCGTCAGATGCGACGGTCGGTAGCCGGTTCACGTTGAACCCCCGGAAGAGCCAGGAGAAATTTCACGTTGTTTTAGGTGGTGGTGGTCTTCTCGGCGTCTCCTTATTTTTTTCCATTCCAGTAAATTTGTTCCAGTTGATGCAATGGCCTTTTCCCTTTCTCTCTCTCTCACTCACTTTTCCCCCTATTTTTCTCTCTCACTTTTCTATCGGCGATGGTTTCTCACATCCAGTTTGGGAGATGGCGATCTCGAAACGATCAGGCTGTAGATTTGAGAGGACGAGAAGGGGGATTTAAAGAATGCCCCGGTGCACAGGTTATTATCTTGGTTTTGTTATCTTTCTGTCGTTCATGGTTTTGTTATGTTTTTCATGGGTTTATTGTGATTACTTTTCAGATGGAATTTTGCAAGATGAAGTAAACGGTTGGGCGTTGATTGATCTGCTGTTCTCGAGGATGGTGTGGGCAACACCAGGGGTTTGGAGTTCCAAAAAGAGCCGCTGGAATTTAGGCGCGGTTTGCTTCTTAATCCCCTGTTATATTCTTTGAAGTTCTGTTGTTGGCGAAGCCTTCCCTTACATGGCAGATTATATTTATGTTTTTGCCTTTTGAAGACGATCATCTGATAGATTATATTTGTCCCTGCTGGGCTGCTTTGGTCTGGTATTGTTTGGTGGGTTGCGGGATTTGACATTGGAGATTGTTTGATGGGTTTATGTGTATGTGAAAGGTTGTTCTGCGCCCTCAACAAAAGGGTTGCCGAGATAAGGAGCATTAGGTTATAATCTTCCTCTCTGGTTCTTTATCTGTACTGTATTTCGATGGACTAATTCTCTCTTCCTTTCTCATAAGGGTCGTTTGATCTCTTTTCAGATTTTATTCAAGGAAAGACTCTCTATTTTCTATATATAGAAAGAAAGGGGTGTGAACCTCCTTTATCTTATTTTCCTAATTAAGAATCATAAATATTGCGAAAAAAATTATCCACAAGGTTCTTCCGAGAATTTATTACTCTTCTGGTACTCTTTTTTTTTTTATCGGAATGGTTTCTGACATAAAACAGGAGAGGGCGCTGGATTTTGCCTTTTGTCTAAACTGTAGAGATCATGAGAGGAAGGGAGGTTGCTGATGGAGACAAGTCCTTGCTTTATTCCTTTCACGGCAAAGAGAAGGAAGGTTTGCTGATTGAGGCACGTAATTGCCTTATTCCTCACACTGCATAGGGGGCTAGGGGTTGGCAGAGGAACGAAGGGTTGCTTATGGCGACTAGACACTAGATATATATATTTTTTGTTTTTCAATTTTTTGCCTTCTCGGTTTTTTAGGGGCTCTTGGGAGACTGTGTATCCTCACTCCTCGGATAGAGGCTGAGGGGAGAAAGGAATGGGCGATACTGAGAAGGACAATATTAGGTTAAAAGCCACGTGGTTCTTATATTTTCGGCCATTCATTTAACCTACTCGCGTTAATCCTGTGCTCTTTCAGTCGATTTTCTTTTCTGGGATGGATAGAGAGAGGCAGAGGAACCATCTTTCTATCCCTTGGACTTTGTCCACGAGCCACATCTGGGACTTTGTCCACGAGTCAGAGAAATGGCCAATATATGTTTTATGCTATATTTTCAATCCCAATTATTTCGAACTTGCTCTTTTTTTTGGAATGGAATATTTATGGAATCCCCATAACCCATAAATAGGGTCAAAATCTTACAAAACTATGTCCCACTTTGAATTCTGGAATTTTAATGGTAGTTCTTGGCGTTCTTCCCATGTTTTTCATCAAAAATTTTACAGGTCTAATGATTGACCCACAGAAATGAAAAAGAGAAGGCAAAACGTGTTTGTTCGCAGAACGACGTATTGGATGTCGTTCCATTTATTTGGCAGGCCCATATAAATGTCGGGCTAACAAATATAAATTTTGACAAATTTAATTTTGAAATAGAGTCGGAGACCCAAAATTACAAAATTCGATTCTTCTAATATACTATTTGAACACCTAATTAGATATGATAGTGCTCATCAGATGAGGATATGCAAATTGTGTAATCATTTCTTCATGATATTGTTATGGAAACTGAGTTATACACTTTTTTATAACAATAAAATACAACTATGCAAATTGCTATTATCATTTGCTCACAGTTCCCGTTCTCACCTCATACGCTCTTACTTTCTGTCCTTTTTATTATGTACATTTTTTAAGTAAAGAAGGCAAAAATTGAGGAATCAGTTACCAATTTTTTTTATGAAATGTTGTTATTTTTTAGAGGGTTTGAATTTTAGAATGGGAAATCGGGAGTTATCGTGTTTCACAAATAGTCGCTATTTTTTAGAGGGTTTGAAAGGGGGAAAACGACAATTATTGTATTTCTAGGTGTGTTGACGTGGAAGCGTAGATTTAGTCTAAGGGTGATGTGGCAGGGGTGCAAATCTCAAACCCTTTTAATAAATTTCTAAATAATAGATAGAAGATAGATAAATAGATGGATAGATAGATATAAATAATGGGCCCTCTTTTATCATATAAGTAGATATATGAATTGGGCCCAGTATTCTCATATTTAGCCCGAATAGGAAATGGCTTTGTGCTTATATTAAATTTCTATAGTTTTTGGGAAGCCCATTCTATAATGGTTCGGTCCATTGGGGGAACAATTGATGGCCCACTGAATCTCCAATATACGATTTTATAATGGTGGTACGAAATCGCTTTGGGGACCAACTTCCACCGCCTTTTCATTTCAGTTCTAATTCTGCCTTTTCAACTTCCCCTATTCTCTGAACTCCTTTTCCCATAAGCTACAGTGCTTCGCAACTTCCAGATCAGAGATAGTCTTATATTCCTGGGGTATGATCGCCGATAGTTTTTCCTTTTGCATTCTGTCTCTATTTCTTAACACTTGAACAAATTTTTGATCTTCTATTGTCTTTCCATATCAGCCATCGTTGTATAATGCCGCGTGATTTCAAACTTCCAAATCTTCCACGAGGTATCGAATCTGTTGCTTTCTGTTTCAAGTTTCTATTTATTGGTTTATGAATGAACACTGCCGAAGTGTTAAGTTTTGGGGTTTTTCTTTGTCTTTGGTTTACTACAGACCCAATTTCCACATGCATGGTGTTTCGTGGCCTCCGCGTTGGTGCTTATACTGATATTATGATCATCCGAGTTCTTAATGTATGTATTGAGTATAGTGATGACTCTCAAGGGCATAGAAGAACAATGCATGTGATGTGTCTTGACAAAGAGGTCTGTCATTCGTCTATATAATGTAATATTTATTATTTATGTTTAATTTGATTGTGGTAATGCACTAAATCACATTTAACAGGAACATATGCTAGAGGCCTGTATTGAGGAAGATGACATTCAAGAAATGCAACATAAGTTGAAAGTAGGAGATTTACATGTTCTGGATGGCTTTCATGTTATTCCTGCGAGGGAAAACAGGCGTGTTGTTCCCGCTGAAGTTCGCTTTGCCTTAAGGAGTGAACATATCATATTTTGCGTGCCTGACAATCCGAGTTATCCCAAGTTTCCTGTCAATGCTTTTCTGAAAACTTCGTTCTCGGCTGTTCCAATAGAGGCAGAAACAGTTGTGAATTATGGAGGTATTTTCCTCAGAAGTTGTTTTCACAAAAATTGTTCATGATTATTTGCTTACTATGAATTTAATTGCAGATGTTACAGGTTGCGTTGTTCATCTAACAATTCCAGAGATTTCAAGTAATGTTGTTCTTAGGTTTGAGCTCATCATAGAAGACTGCAGGTTTCTTGCGTATTCTTGTGCTGACTTTTGTTTGTTAGACTTTTATGTGGGATTAATTGATCTTTTGTTATTTTGTATAGAGGGGACAGGGCGACAGTGTACTATTCTGGATCTGAGGTTACAAAGTATTTGGAGTTTGCAGGGGAATCTGAATCTCGGCTTTCTCTCATTACCACAATTACTGCTGTTACAAGGTTGCCAGTTACAGATAGCACTGGAGATGCATATGTATTTCAATCTTCACCTGAGAGTCGTCTGATCATTGCTTCTTACAATCACCATTATGAAAAAATAATAAATAGGTATTATTATATTCGAATTCTATGTTTATATATTGACAAACCTGCTCTGTTGGATGCTAGAAAAACCATACATACCTTCTTTTTGTTGTTTAGGTTCATAGGTGATCGGATTCCAGTGACTTACATCAATAGTACTTCTCGCTGCTCTATTGGTTATCTTCGTGGTCTTCTTCCTCCCAAAAGAACACTCAGGCAGCTAAAGGATGATATAATGTTCCATGCACAGGCCTACCAGGTATATGTATAATATTGTATGTTCTAATTGTATTGGATAACACATATCCCAAATATATATTCATATCTTTAACCTATTATAACAAAAATTCCTTCCTTCAAACTCTCTATCGTTGTATGCTGGAAATGACAAGATTTACGTACGGTCCAGAAGTCTTTAAATCAAGTTCAGGTTTTCCAAGGTATGATTCAATTTTATGTTTTGCTAATAATCTGTTTCCATTGCATTTAAGGAAAATCAAAATGTTCCTTTTATTGTTTAATTCAGGGTACGATATGAATTACATGCAACATGTGAGTGCGAGGGCGAATATGTTGATGTTGTCTTTGATCATGAAGCTGTGTTGGGCTTGGTTTGCGTTTCACCTGAGGAACTTTTAAGTCTAACCTATGAAGAAGGATATCAGTGCATTGAAGACAGGTGTTATGTGTCATTTGTGGCAGAAGCTTTTGTTGCTCCTGGGAGTTCAGAAAATCCTCCTGCTATCCGAATTGCTTCAATCTGGAACCCTAATGCTTTCGTGTGATTGAAAACTGTTCTACTTGGAACTTAGTTTGTCAGGACTGCTTATTTATAATTATGTATGTTATCTATTCAGGACATGTTACTCCGTTTTCTGTAAAAAAAATCTGATTGTTTTTCCCTAACTACTCTGGTATTTTGATGTTAGTTATGTATGTATATATATATTAGTGCCTATTCTGATATTTTGCTATATGTTTTTAGTATTTTAGTTTTGTTTGTAGCAATAGCGTATTTCTAGCAGTTTGATATATATACATTGAATTGCCAAATCAAAAATATCTATCATATAGCTTTAATCTGGCTAGGTTCACGAGTAGGAGATATTTCTAGCACTTTGATTTATATACATTGAATTGATGTCTCAAAAATGTCTATCGTATAGCTTTAATCCTGTTAGGTTCACGAGTTGGAGATAAGTTGACTCGAACCACTA